TTATTATTATCATTATCATTATTATTATTATTATTTAACATTATTATTATTATTATTTAACATTAATTACATTTTTTATTTCATGCTTCAATTTTGTCCTATTTTTTCCCCAAAAAATTTCAGTCAACAATGTCAGTATGTTGGTGTCAGCCAATATGACCCTAGGCCTAGTTTAAGGAGGGGCCTAGGTAAGATCTCAGCCTTTTAGGCCTCTTTCTCTCTAGCCTTTGGTATTACTGTTATACCTATCTACACTTTATAACAGGAGGCACTAGCTGTTGTTGTTGTAGATAATATACTAATATTTAATAACATCCAAGGTCACAGTTAGTTACACACGTACAACATCCCATAAGTGCGTGAGATTTCATAGGCCTACAGTAAACATAGAAAGAGCAATACAGTAATAGTAAAACTCGAGCGTCACGACATTGCGAAGTGTCTGATCTTGTTCCTCGTATCGTACTCACTCGAGTCAATCCGAGATGGCCCGAGTGAAGTTTCATGCAAATGTTTCGTACGGGAAAAAAATCGCGTCCGGCGGACTGATTTTGGCCTCATAATTACTTGCCAAATCAAGTCCACATACTGTAAGCCAAAATCAGTCCGCTGAAATTTACTTTGCTGCGCACACTTGGAAATATTACGTCCGCAATAGATTTTGGCGGAAAAAACGACTCCCAAGCTTTTACAGACGTACATACGTCGCTACCAAGCCAATCACAATGATGTCTTTAGCTGAAGCCTGAATTTGCATACACCACCCTATATAAGAGTTTAAGTTCGGAATGATTAGCTCATTATTTAGTTGATAGTATAGTAGTAGAGCCTTCATGGTTAGTGAACATTGGAATAACAATAAGGGAAGACTAAGCTATGTACTGATATATACTAGTTGTTATACTTTTAATAGTGTTACAGTATATTTTCTCACGTATATATGTATATATATATATATATATATATATATATATATATATATATATGTGTGTGTGTGTGTGTGTGTGTGTGTGTGTGTGTGTGTATTAATATGTATGTATTTATTAGAAATTATATAGAGTATGTCCAAAAATGAACAATTCATACATTGACATAAAATTTAATTTCATATTTATAACTCATGCCAGTAAAGTACATACAAATAAATAATGTAACACTTTAGTGCAATAAAATGCTGAATCTTCAACCCAGTGTTACATGTTTATCTGTCTATCTGGTGTGTTATAAACTGCACTGAGCGCTCTTGTCTACATGATCTGGTTTAAGCCAACCACACAAGTTACAATATATAATGGCATTGTTTTCCAAAAATAACCTCTGAGGCGTAATAGGCGACTAATTATTTCTTTTTCTTTTATTTTTCCTTCTTTTTAGCCACAGGACCGACTACCATACCCCTTTCCAAATCCACGCCTCATATATTTGGTAAAAAAAGAGAGAGGGTGGGTGAACGGAAAGGGTTTTGAAATTTAACATGTACATTCCGCTTCACTAGCCACAGCACCGTGAGTTCAAACAACCAATCACAATGATGTCCATGGCTGAAGTCTTAATTTGCATACATCAATTATCAGTAATATACAGTCGGTAAATTTAAACTACAGTTATTAGCTCTAATTATACAATCAATAGACATTATATATATATATATATATATATATATATATATATATATATATATATATA